CTCACAAGTGTTATCTCAGACCATCCTTGAGCTTGGGGCAGACATTGTGTTTCAGCATCTCAAGTGCCAGTAGTACAGAGAGTTGCCACCACGCCCAGTTTGTGGTGGTGCTTTCTCTTTTCTTGGTATATACCTAGGAGTGGAACTACTGTTTCATAGAATAATGTTAGGTTTAATTTTTGAGGAACTGTTTAATTGCATTCCTAAGAGTTGTGCAATTTTATGTTCTTACCAATTTATGAGAATTCTAATTCCACATCGTTGCTTCTTTGTGAGACATGGTCTTGTGTAGCTTGGGCTGGCCTTGAACTCACTATGTAGCTAAAGACAATCTAGAAACCCTTCTTCCACCACACAACTGCTGGGATTACAGGCATGTACCATTAGGCCCTGTATTGTGTACTGTGGTTTGGACCCCGGGTTCCGTGTGTGCTGGGAGTGTACCTACCAACTGAACTCCATTTCCAGCCTTGCTGACATTTAAAATTATTTATCTTTTTAATCATAGTCACCCTATTGGGTATGAAGTGGTGTGTTCTGGTTTTCACTCGTGTTTCCCTAATTGCTTTGTGTGTGTGTGTGTGTGTGTGTGTGTGTGTGTGTGTGTGTATGTGTGTGTGTGTTGTTGTTGTTGCTGTTGCCCATACTTTTGCCATTTTTATTGTGTGTATTTCTGTTCTGAGGCCCCTCATTCTTTGTGGAACAAATACTCCTTGGAAAGAGAGTCCTGGGTTTGAGTCCTCCCTCTGCCTCTACTAGTTCTATGACTAGGTTTGACACCGAGGGCCTGTTTCCCTGCTTATGAACCATGAGTTACAGCTTTAACTGAGATAGGTCTATAGTAAAGCTGGGGTGGGGACCTCAGTGGATCTCACCATGACCCCTAGGAGTCAGAGGGGAGATTTCCAGTTTACCTAGGAGGCATGGACTGGGACATGTTTCTAGCATAATTTTTATCTGCTTTACTATTGGAATATCTCACAAGAGGAATTAGCTTCTCTAAGAGTCCTCTTCCCCTCTGGTGTGGAGACATTTTCACTTCAGTCATGTGATTGGAACCCAGACTAGGCTGTCAGTGGGAGACTCTGTCTACATGTCAAGAATTTGCGAATGTTGAATAGGTTCTGACATGCTAAAGTTTTGTTTATTTTTGTCTTGTGTGCAAGTACTTTGCCTATATGTATGTATGTGTTCCATGTCCCTGCCTGATGCTCTCAGAGGTCAAAAGTGGTATCAAGTATCCTAGAACTGGAGTCACAAATGGCTGTGAGCCACCATGTGAGTGCTGAGAATCAGGCCCTGGTCCTATGTGAGAGCAGCGGCTCTCCAGCCTTAGGTTTTGATATTTTATGAGTCTTGTGTTATGCCTCAATTTTCATCTCTGCCCAGAGAAAATTCTCCTCTGGCATGCCTTTCCTGAGAACTTGCAAGTCATGCTATATATAGTCTCTCATTTTACCTGCCCTAGGAGCTGATCAGGTAAGCTCTATGATCCCATTTTATAGACGAAGAAATTAAAGTTCTAAGGGGTATAATACTGTGTATGAGAACCATACAGCTGGCAGATGCTGTTTCTAAGTCTGTCTTCTTTCCCAAGACCCAAATGCCCCTCAACACCTCTGCCACACTCTGCTAGAAGGCACAAGGCACTCAGGACCCCAGGACTCATGGGAACAGCTGCTCCTATTTCTCTGGTATGACAAAGACAGCATTTCCCTCAATCTAGACTAAGAGCCGTTTTCAGTGTCACAGAAAAGTCCCACCCCATCCCAGGCCATGGAAACCACTGCTGCCATGGAATGCCTGGCTTTGTTGTTGTTGTTAATTACATCTATTTATTTATTATCTATGTGTGTGCATGCGTTCACGTGTGTGTATGTGTATGTATGTGTGTATGCACTTGCCACAGCATGTATGTGGAAGTCAGAAGACCCGTTTCAGGAGTTGGTTGTCTTTCTGCCATCACTCCTCCTGGGTCCCAGGGCATGGACTCAGGTTAGGATGTACAGGAAGTATCTTTACCCACTGAGCCATCCCACCAGTCTGCACTACAGCCTGTGAGTTCTTAAAGTGACAGTGGTCTCTTAGTTCCTGAGACTCTGGTATCTAGCACATGGCTGGGCACAAAGGTCACAGATGTATCTGGACCATATCACAGACCAACATGTGCCTGGCACAGGGCCTGCCTCCCTCACAGCTATTACCAGATCCATCACTGAGCAGGAGGAACAGGTAAACACATCATGCCCACATGCCCAGGCCAGGGTCCAGCCCTAACTAGACCCCAACAGTCAGAACAGAAGAATAGGAGTCTGAGCTGCTAGACCCACCTAAACTAAAATAGAAACCTACTTCAGAGACAAATGGGGAAATGGCCCAGGGACAGAGAGGCTGAGGGGGCCCGCCATGCAGCCAGACTCAGCTCCATGAGAGTTGTGACTGACCCCAGACCCTCTGCCCAATTGGGAGCCTATCACAGGCTCTGCCAACTCATCCCTCCTCCAGAGACACAAGAAAACTCATCTCAGAGCCCTAGGTATGAACAAGATCTCGTTTAAAATGGGTTTGATCTCTGCAAATAGGGCCGGATTTGAACTCCTGATCTTCCTGCCTCCACCTCCCAAGGACTGGGATTACAGGTGTATGCCCCTATTCCCAGTTTTATTAATTTATTCATCTAAGTAATTTTTTTTTTGCTTTCTTTTTGAGACAAGGACTCACTCTGTAGTCTAGGCTGGTCATGAACTCACCATAGAGCCCAGGTTGGCTTTGTACCCATGGCCATCCTGCCTAAGCCAGAAAGGATGCTTCAGTTTCTCTAAGCTCCTGTTCATCCTGGCTGCATGCACTTCGTGACAGACACTTGCCATCTCTTGGGTACTCAGTAAATTAACAAGGTACTTTTTAATTTTACCATGTGTATATGTGTATGAGGTATGTATATGCATGTTCACATGTGTGGGGATACGTGGGTGTGTGTTGCACAAGTGTGCAGAAGCTGAGGTTTGGCATCTGGAATCTTCCTCAATTGCTCTCCATCTTATTCACTGAGATGGGTTAAGTTGAGCCCAGACCTTGTTAGTACAGCTACTCTAGCCAGCCAGCTTGTCCCTGCTTTAACCTTCTGGGCTCTACCTCGCTCACGCTCACATGGGTTCTAGGGATCAGAACTCCCATCCTCACGCTTGCATGACAAATGCTTTTAACTACTGAACCATGAACCATCTCCCCAGTCCCCACTTTCAGCTTTGTGTCAAAGGAGTCATTTGCTCTTTCATTCCATTGTTCACTCAGTCAAACAGCCAACACTAGCCAGGCTGCAACAACAAAGAACTAACTTTCGGAGTTAGGAGTTGAAATCCAGTATTGCTGCTAGCAGGCTGGACTCCCCAAATCCTGAGGTAGACATTTTCCTTCACAGCCCTCCATCTCCTTGTCTGAAAACTGAGATGCTGGTAACACCTCCAGAAGACATTGCATGTCACAAAGATTCAATGGGACAATTAAGGCTCCTGGCCAACTCAGAGCCTCAGGGAGTCCTGAAGGGAGCTCCTGGTGATGTCCATAGGAGCAGTCTCAGAATAAGGCAAGAGGACAAGCTAGAGACAATAGTGTTAGTTTCTAGTCTGTGACCCCTGCCCCCTTCCTAGTAAGCTAATAAATGGTAAGGAAATACCAAAACAAAAACAAAAAGAAATTACATAGGTCCTCATTTCTCTAGGCTGGCCTGAACTCCTTATCCAACTGAGGATAACACTGAATGTCTGGCTGTTGTGCTTCTATATCCTGAGCTGTGGGATGATGGATGATCACCACCACACTGGTGTCATGTAATGCTGAAGATCTAGCTCAGGGCTTCATGCATGCTTTGCTATACTCTGCACCTTATCCCCAGCCAAATGGAGTTGAGTCTCAGCAGTATAGGGAAACTCCCACTGGCAGGCCTGCAGAGTGTGTAGGGCCACACACATTCCACACGTGCTCACAAGCTACACATTCACACCTTTACCTTACACACATAAGCAGATGTACCTTGGAAGGCACAGGACTTTTATATGCCTGTACTCCCAGCACTGGGAAGGCTGAGTGAGGTTCAAAGCTAGCCTGGGAAACTTGGTAGACTAGCTCAAAAAGAAGAAAGCACAGCACTTCACAGCCGGCAGAGGCCCATTCATTTCTCCTCTCATTTGATGCTGAGGCATGGAAATAGTCTCTGTGTTGTATTAATTCCATGTCTACCTTCACTGGACCAGGATCAGCAGAGCCAAATGTCAACAGAAATGCCGAGAAAGGTTTAGCCCCATTCCCCAGACACATCCATTCACTGCTTCTCTTCCCCTTAGCAAGTCATGCCTCGACTCAGGGAATCAGTTTTCCCAGTGCAGTCAACTTCAGCTGCATTGTATTTTGGCATCCTTCCTGCTTGTTCCTGCCAAGGCATCTGAGGAGCTCTAGCAACCCCACCCAGCCCCTCCCCAGGGACCCTCTGTACTCTACCATTTGACAAAGAACAGGTTTTTGGTTTGGATTTTTTTTTTTTTAAATAGGGTCTCACTGGCCTGGAACTCACAAGAGATGCACTATGTAGAAAAGGCTGGTCTTGAACTCACAGAGCTCGCCTGCCTCTGCTGGGAGTAAAGGTGTATGCTACACCATCCAGCACAGAATAGTTTTTAAATATTCAGCTACTAGAACTCACAGTTAGAACTTGCCCTGAGTAAGAAGTCCAGGCCCAGAATTGTCTTGTGACATTCAGAACTCAAACTCAGACCTCTACAACTCCAAATCCTGTCTCATTATCCACGGCCCCACCCAAGGCACAGCCAGGACCCCATGTCCTCATCTCTTCCACTCCAGTCCTGTGTGCAGCCTAGTTCTGGGCAGAACTAGGTAGAGGAAATGAAGAAGGAAGGAGGCCCCCACACCTGCTCAGCCCAGGACTGCTGTGGTGGACAGGGGGAGGGTGGGAGGCAAGCCCCTGAGGAGGGTAGCACCCTTACCTGGGAAACTCACCCTGACTCAGCAACCTCCTGCTGTCCCTGAGAGCTGGAGCAAGGCAGACTTCTGGAGCAGCCCCTGCCACTGGGCAGTTCCTGTGCCACAGAGTGCAGGAGTCTGGGAGGTGGCAGATGAGGAAACTGGTATTGCCAGGAGGGGAAGTGACACTGTCTCACAAAGCTCTGAGTGGCAGGACCAGGACTCAATTTGGAAATCTTGCTCAAGTGTCTGGCACAAGGCTGACTTGGCCACTGCCCAGCCAGGAGCCAGGAGCCAGGAGCCAGTCACCCTCCCCACCCCCACCCCCCGCCAGTCTCTTCATCCTCACCCAAGCAATGGGTACCACTGGACTATCAGTATGGCCCGATGGTTGCTGAGAAGATGGAGGGGGAACACTCAAGGCCCTGGGCTGGGCACAAGGAGGCTCCTAGCTACACATCAATTTCTCTCTTGAGTTTAGGCAGAGCCTTGCTCCTGCTCATTACTGCCACAGGGAACAATTGCCCTGGTTTCTCAGTATGCCTGGAAGGCCCATTAAGAGAGATCCAGACTTTGAGATTAACAAATCTATTGTCTGTGATTCCAACAATGCAGGTCCAGACACCATTCCCCAGGGACTGAGGATGGATCCTCAGAGGGAGGGTAGCTTGGAGGAAGGGCAACACCTGGGTGGCTTGTCTCCTCCCCAGCCTCAATCCTTACTGGATCTTGGGCAGGACCAGGAGAAGGCAATGGGTAGCTCTGTCTGGGTCCTCTACTGGCTTGGGCAACCCTCCCTATCAGTAGGATATTCCTTCTCCCTTTCCTCCTCTTGTTTACAAGTACCATGCCCTGCTCTCTTCTGGTGTCTTTCAAGATGAGGGGGAAGGCAAAGCAAGGTCTCCAACCTGAGGTGTGAGCTTTAGGGGAACATTAAGAGGTGTGGGGCAAAGAGCCAGGGGACCCCTCAGGTGGGCACAACAGGACTTCCTAGGTCTCCCTTTCCCTGTATCATCTCCTATCTGTCTTTGGAGAAGCCCACCAGCCTAAAGGAGGCCCTGCACTATAGGATCAAAGGATACTGCCATGCATGCTACCCTCTGGGATGCCCTCTGCAGATCAGGAGAGGAAGACATTCTTTGGTTAATACAGCAGAGGAGGTGCTGGGCCTTGTCTGGGTCACCCCTTGGCAGAGGTGTCCTTGTCACCCCGCTGGTCCTCTTCCCTGGCATGCATACACAAAAGAGGAGCCTCACAGCAGAGACCTGTGAGGGAGCTTAAGTAACTCCAGGCAGAGGAAGATGAAGAGTCCCCACACGACTGGCTGCAGCCTGCCCAGCCTCAGGCTCCAAACCAAGCCCATTTCCTACCCCAAGCCCCAGAGGCTGACTGTACTTTCCCCATAGCCCAAGCATAGGATGCCTTAGGTCAGCTCTGCTTTAGTTTGCTGTATGACTTCAACCAGTGTCCACCCTCTCCGGATCACAGTTCTCCCATTTGTAAGATGTAAAAACAAGAACAAAACAAAATAAAAACCCAAAAAAGGCAGTGTGCAGACTAAGATGACAGAGACAAATGGTGTTACACACTGCTCACATTCTGAGACCCAGGGTGGGCCCCCTTGGAGCATGCCCATTCTCTTGATGGGAAATAAGTGTGCCTTTAGAGAAAAACGTGCCACCACGCCAAACAACAGCAGGCCACTGACAGGAAGATCCCTCTGCCCCTGTGTAGAGAAGATAAGGAGAGTTCCTGAAAGGGAGTCAGGGAGGGGGCAAAGTATGTGAGGGCCAGGCTCCCAGGTGGGAGGGGCCACGAAAGCCCACGTGGAGGAAGTCTGGGTACACAGGTCTGTGCGGGGCCAGGCAGCATGTGGATTCACGTTCAGTGTTTGCTCTTATGCCAGTCTGTCCACACACCTCACTCTGGGGTACCCCGGAGTCCCCAGTCCATAGCAGCATTTTCCCAGGCCCACAGTCCTTGCCACAATCTCAGCGCAGCCCAGATGCCATGGGAGATTTGTGAGGTGGCAGTCACCACAGGCTCCTGGACTTTCCCAGGAACAAAAGCAGTTGCATAAGAGGAGGAGGAAGGCTTAGAGGATTAAGCAGGCTCTGCCACCTCAGCCCTGGATGGGTCAAAACCCCAGTGTTCTGAGACCTTCAGTAGCCCTCCACAAGCCTTCCCTGGCTGGAGAAGAACCGCACAGGTGCACCATCCCCGATGAACCCTGCCGGCTCCAGCTCATGCCCTTCCTGGGGTATATTTGCCTCTTCCAGAACTGTGCTCTGTAGCAATAATGAGAGCTCTTCTTGCCCACACAGAGCAGGGACTGAGAAGGTGCCACTGGCAGGCACAGACTCTTGTATATCCTGGGTTCTAAGACCTCAGTCCAGTGGCTCCTCGCTGCCCTCAAGATGTGAGAGGGACAACACTGTTTTCAGTTCTCCATCTGCAATGGGAGAGGAGAGAGCTGGCGGCGCTCCGTAGGAGATGTACCCCCCGCCCCCCGCATGTTGGTACTACTTCAAACTCTAGTAAGCTGGGCCATATACTCAGACTCGGGGAGGTGGGATGCTGCTGGCTGAGCCACATCGTTCCTCCTCCAACCCATCCCACCAGGATCTGGGGACTGCTGTGGGCCATCTTAGGGAAGTACAGGCACGCTGCTGAGGAGTCGGGAGCCTGTGCCCATGGTGTGACCCCCACTGAAGTGTGCCCATCACACTCAGTCCACAGGTCTACAGCATACATGTGCACCCATGTACGCGTGCATGAATGTCCAGCCCAACGCATGCAGGGTTTAAGCTTAGTTCAGCAAGATGATGCAAGGATCTTGCAGAACCAGGAAAAGATGGAAGGAATGGATGTGAGTTCTCACAGAGCTGCTAGACCTTTGCTTCCTCACGGACACAGACACAGGCCATTTAGTGGTATGGTGGGCCTACCCTCTCTGATCATCCCATAAAGGCCCTAGCCAGACCACACAGAGAAACAAGCAAATGTCCCTCAGAAGGTGGCTCTTGACATAGCTACTCAGTTGCTGGTGCAAAGTAATGTACTAGACCTGAGGAGATGTTCAGAGGGAGAATCGCTTACTGCACAGCCTGGCCTGAGTTCAGAATCCACATAAAAAGCCAGATAAAGTGGAATGCATTTGTGATGCTGATGCTGCAGTGAGATGGGTGGCAATGACAGGAGAATCACTCGAAAACTTGCCAGGACAGCTAAGCCTGGAGCACAACACAACACAGCGCAGCAGTAGAAACAAGAGAGGCCCACCCCCTCGGGTGGGAGGAGATTAACAGGGAACTGCACTGTGGCCCAGACCTATGTGTACACACGAGCGTAAAACTGAGTGAAATGTTTAAGAACTCAGGAAAGTCACTCTGCATTTTGGAGTTGAAAGGGCAGAATGTGGGGCAGTGAGAGTTCTAGAGGGTACAGGGCCCTTCGCAGGCAGAGGAGGCCTCCCACTCTCCAGAAGCCTCACCCTCTACTTGTTTTAGGTTTTTTTTCTGCCCTCTAAACTTGGTGGGCTCTTCTGGATGACTTTTCTTGTTGGATGTGATGGTACAGAGGCCCGTTCTGGGATAAAGACCCATGGTTCTTGTCTAGAGCTCAGCTCAGAATCCAGCCAGCTTCTGGGGAACTCAGGGTGGGCATGAAGGCACAGGTGCCAGTCCAGGCTTCTCCATTCCCTTCTGGATCTCCTGGAGAATCCTGGCCACAAATCACCTCAGCGTTAAGTCAGCTAAAAATGTGAACTATGTGAACTGGAGCATCCTTGGAAGTGTCAGAGCTGCAGCCCTGCCCCAACTTACTAGAAGGCATCTCCAACATTAGAGGAAGCCAGCTACAGAATACTCCAGACAGAGCCAGCACCTCCGCAGTGGCCCTTCAGGACAATGCTTATGATGGTCAGGAACTGCTTGCTCTGAGTGTTGAGACTGGCCCAACTAGCCCTTTTATACTAGCTAAAGAAGGTGCAGTGTTGTCCTCCACTGTTCTGAGCAATTTGCCTGACACTCTCAAAGCTTCATAGTATCAGATCAAGGAGTTGAACACAATGCTTTGAACCGGTTCGGGTCCTCACCATGTGAGTAGTGTCTCGTGACTCATGCAGCTGGAGAGACAATAGGAGAAAGGAGAAAGTCCAAGAAGCCAGTGGACTCTCTCACAAGAGTTACTCACTCATTGATTGCTTTAGATTTACCCCACTCCTGTCCAGAAAGAACTGGCTGGCTCAGACAATAGCCAAGTGTATCACATAATCCCACCAGACGCAGAGACATAGGCTAAGATCCTAGAAGCCAAAGTCAAAGAGAAAAACAGAAAGGATTTATGGCTTCCCCTTCCAGATAAAAAGAAGACAAATATTTGCTTGAGGGGGTGGAGCCAATCATTGGAATAGTCCTGCGCTCAATGGGGAGGGCAACACAATCAGTTCAACATTAGTGAGTTCCTGCTACAAGAAATAGAGATAGATAGATAGATGGTAGAAAATTATAGATTATAGAGGTGATAAATGATAGAAAAATGATAAATAATAGAGATGATAGATGGATAGATAAATGATAGATGATAGAGAAATAATAGAGAAAGATGATAGACAGATGATAGAAAAATGATAGATGATAGATAAGAGAGGTGATAGATAGATGATAGATAGATAGATAGATAGATAGATAGATAGATAGATAGATAGACGGGGCAAAGAGACTATCACAGGGGAAAGGAAAAGGACAAGGTCATAACATTAGTGTGTCATGTGTACAGACCCTCCCACAATTGTTATACCTTCAGGGATGTGTGTTTGGCGAAACTTCCATGCACAAGGGCTGCTGAAGTGGGATGGAAGATTTTTTACCTTGAGGCAAAGAACCTTCTAAGAATGTAAAGGGAGAGTCCTCGGCTGAGCTCTCTAGGTCTTTATGTTCTGTGACAGGGACGCCTGTGTCCCCATGAGGGTCAGAGCACTTTGTTTAGCTTTGCCTCAGGCAATCGATTGAAGACCCCAGCTCTCAGGAGCTTTGCAGGAACAAGGCTGTTGAGTAGACAATGAGAATGAAGGGCTTTCCCTTTTCTGTCTGAGGCCC